AAAAAAAAAAAAAAAAAAAAAACGGATAACAATGAAATGATAGAGATTATATGATAGAGAACTCAACTGAGCTTGCCTGTCTCATGGTAGACCGCGGGGTCTGGAAACCTAATTTTGCTGATTGTCGACTGCTGTCAATATTGATTGATTGATTGATTGACTGACTGACTGTTTGACTGTTTGACTGATTGATAAAAATAATCGCAAGGAATGGGGTTGGAACCCATTGATAACGAGTGTACAATCGATGTCTGTCGGTGAGAAAACTGTGTTTTGTTATTTATTTATTTATTTATTTATTTATTTATTTATTTATTTGGATGGTAATTGGTGGCTGGAGAGAACTCAGTAAAAATGACAGTTGTCTGTTGTCAATGGGCTCATCTCTCCTGTGAGAATAGATCGAGGCGTTCAATCCATTTTCAAGCTGAAATGAACAAACAAATGAACGGATGGGGAAAAAACAATGGGATGATTGTTTTAAGAAATTAAAGCATATTAAAGGCAAGACTTCTTTAACAATAGGAACAGTTTGATAATTTAGGTCTAAAAAAAAAAACAAAAAAAACCCCGCAATTTATTTAACGCAGACAAGGAAAGCGGATCCACGCTTGTACATGTAGATTTAGCTAGATCGTCTGATTATAACGAGCAATTTAAGAAGCCATTCAACGCCTACGGCGGAGAAAGAGGAGATGAAAGACGAACTCACAGATAGCTAACTCTCTACCCAGTATCATATTACAAAAGTCACTTGTTGGATTCCATTTTACAACGGTTATGTCCCATTAAATCAGAAAATGATGCCCTTTGTTGTCCCCCCAATTCATTCAACGCTAATTGCAGGTATCGGATTATATACAGTTAATTCAATCCTGAGATGCGTCAGTTTCGCTCAAACGTGCTGAAATATCATTGTGAGCAAGGGGGGAAGGAAGATATAGCTCGTCTACCTCTCTGGCTGTTGTGATAGTGCGGAACTTTAGGTATTTCCCGTGTATCGTTGAAGGAATTTCCACTACATTACTCAGCCCAGATGATTCAAACCTTTCTCTGGGGCTGCGAATGTTTACTCCTACTGAAGTGTGGGTTTGTTCAGAACGGATTCGTTGTTTACGTGAAGCCAACAAGGAGTGCAGGAGGTGAATCTGCGGTTTGACGGCGGGGGTGTAGGCGACCATCGGAATAGCCAGGGCGCTTCCATCCGAAGTTTTCCGGCTGGTGATTCTGCTGTGGTAGAAGGAAGCGAAGATAGCCGGCAGAATTTTGCTGTTTTTATCTCGGTATAGGCAGCAGATCTGCGAAAGGAGGTACGAGAGGAAAGTCGGGACTCTAGCTTCAACAACCAAAGTAGGAAAACGTCGACTGCAGATGAATTAGCCCGGAAAAAACTTAGGAATTTCACGCCGGTCAATTAAGTGCAAGAGAGAGAGAGAGAGAGAGAGGGAGAGAGTCGGAGAGAAGAAGCCAGTTTCAGCGTGGTAGCTCCCTAGGTGGAGTGAAAGAGAGAAATTGACGATGGATCGGAAACTTACGATTGTCTGCTTGCTTTGGGCTGTAGTTTACATCACCTGTGTCGGAGCAACTGGTAGGCAAGGTGAAAAGAAATCCCCAAACGTAAGTAAATGCATGCACTAAATACAGAAACTTGAAGGAATGTAGTTAATTCGTTCTCTGACACACGTACTCGCCTCGGAGGCGATGCCCTTCTGTGCTCCAGTTGATTTGAAAGTACAACGGGCCATTGTTTTGAGTTCTTGAAGACTGAAGCTAGAGCTCGCTGGTTTTAATGAAGCCGAGGTGTAAATACTTGAGAATTCTTAAATCTTAATTAAGAGCGTCATTGTTACTAGGTAACAGATTGGGGTTAGCGTTGATGGTCATTTTGTTTAACTTCCAGGATCGTAAATGTTATTATGTCATGAGAAGCAATGATTTGATTTATTATTAATTCACTTCAGTTTTTGCAGTTGCATATTTACAGAGAGAGATAAAGAGTTTTGATTTTCAGGAAAAGCGTAAAATAACTATTGAGTTGAATTTTAGCAGTTCTGACTGAAATAAAATAAAAAATAAGAATGGGAGGGGTAATAAAAGGAAGTGAAACTGAAAATTAAATTTCAGTAGTTGAAATTCATAGCAGGGAAGAGTGGGTGTGTCAGTTTACCACAGCAATAAAAAGAAAGTAAGTGTTAATGTTAAACCTAAACCTTTATAAACATTTAAATGGAATCCAGATATAGGCCTTTTATGAATTGAAAAGGAAAAAAATTGACAGAAAATCTGGAATGCCAGTCTGTAGAAGTAGTGTGTGTGGACTGTTACTATACCATGATGGGTTCTGAAGGCTTTCGGCTCAACAGAGAGTGTTAATCCGCTGCTGAGGTGAAACAGTTGAGGATGCATTAGCGTCTAGGTGAAAAGTGATCCTCCCCTTAAAACCTATTCAGCAAGCATGAAGAGGAGGAAGGTATTTTGAGGGCTGAGTTGGAAAGGTATAAACATCAGAAGGACTTTTGCTTAGTGCTGAGATGTGAATAAAGTGATCCCTCTTTGGGGGTTGGTGAAGGGGGGGAAGGGGGAGGTGGGGGGGGGGGAAGATCA